GAAATTTGATATTTTTTTCCAAAAACAGAGGGTCTGAGGAGGTCGGCCCGGCGTCTAAGACTAGGTTTCAGACTCTAAGATTCTACCCGGGATGTGCTCTAAACTAGGAAATTATAGGACAAAAACAACTAGTTTTTAGCTCTGTAAGCATCAATGCAAAAATTATCATCTTTAATAAAATAGATTAATAATGACGATCTAAAAAGAAATTGAGTTTTAGGAATTCTATTCAATTCTATCTTGAGGTACAACTTAACTTGGAATGTATGTACATTCAATTATTCTACCAAGAATATCTAAGGACTGAATCAGATTTTTCCTCTAGTAGTTCTTATTTTGCCTTCAAAAAATCTGTAGCCTAATGGTTAAAAGGACAAAGGAGGAACATGTCGTAAAGTTACATTTTATTCAACAAGTTTTATCAAAACTATGATAGAATGTAAATAAAACTCGCATTAAAACTTTAAAACATTTTTTCTAGATTTAATGATTTTTAACATTGATTAGAAATATTAAATCTGACATCAAGGTTGTAAAATATTAAAAAATCGGCTAAACTTTACCCCCCCCCCCCCCCTCTCCTTCCCATGGTGTTAAAGAGTTGATGACATTGATCTTGGCGCATTTATACATAACCATTTATTATTTAAAAGGGGTAGATATAAGGAACAAGAATGAAAAAATCCTTGAAATAATTCACTCTTGTTTTATTACTCCGAGGTTGGATAAAGTCTGGACTTAAACCTGGTTCTGGAGCTGAGTATTGTTATATCCCTGAACAATATTCTTCAGGTAAACTTTAGTTGTTTATCCAGCATTGGAACCTGGAGTCATCCTTAGTAGTAGACAGTAGGGATATAGGGATACAGGGATACAGGGATACAGGGATACAGGGATACAGTTATACAATGATACAGGGTCACAGGAATACAAGGATACAGGAATACAGGGATACAGGGATACAAGGATACAGGGTTACTACTGGGATACAGTGAAACAGGGATACAGGTATAAAGGAATACAGGGATACAGGGATACAGGGGATACAAGGATACATGATACAGGGATGCAGGTATAAAGGGATACAGGGATACAAGGATACAGGAATACAGGGATATAGGGATACAGAGATACATGGATAAACAAATATAGGGATACATGATACAAGGATGCAGATATAAAGTGATAAAGGGATACAAGGATACAGGGATACAGGGATACAGGGATAATCAGATACAGGGATACAGAGATATACAGGGTACAGGGATACAGGGACACAGATATACAGGGATACAGAGACACAGGGATACAAGGATACACGGATACAGGGATACAGGAACACAGGGATGCAAGGATACAGGGATACAGGGATACAAGGATACAGGGATACAGGGGTATAGGGATACAGGGATGCAGGGATGCCGGCAAACAGGGATATTTGGGTCCGTTTTTATGTGGTTACTCGACAAAATTCAATAAATTCGGACAAGCATCTACATTTAGAACATATATCTTAGAACATATATTTTTCAAATATGTCGAAATGAAATGAGCCTCTTGTAAGCTACACAGCATTAATATTTTCAATGTTACCATTGACGAAATTTTCAATTACCCACAGTTCAAGGAGTTGCCATGCACGCTCGATTTACTTGTCATTTCTATAGAGAAACAGTAATTGGATTTACATGTCTCTTCTAAGGACAAACCGTAACTGGATTTACATGTCACTTCTATAGAGAAATCGTAATTGGATTTACATGTCACTTCTATAGAGAAACCGTAATTGGATTTACATGTCACTTCTATAGAGAAACAGTAATTGGATTTACATGTCTTTTCTAAAGAGAAACCGTAATTGGATTTTCAATTTTAGATAGAAAAACTAGGGTACCTTTTTTCTTAGCCAATGGATTAAAGAACACGATTATGAATCGAAAGTCCTATTTTTTATATTGGAGGATTCCTTGAAATTAGGTGTACAGTCCCTTTCTAAGAATGAAATTTAAAGGTTGCCCACAAGGAGACTTTGTCTGAACAAGTATGAATTAGATATTCATGGTTTCTTTAAACTGTTTATTTGTGGTTTCTCAGCAAACGTGAATTGCAGAATTATTGATCAGATTAAGGTGTCAAGGGTATCGTTGTGAATCTGGCATTTCCATCTTTGCATGTAGGGTCACTTGAAATTACGGTTACAGTACATTAAAGTTAATTAATTTAATATAGATTTATAGGGATTAATAATTTTTAAAAAAATGGAAAAATTGTTTTAAACGAAGATAACATGGGATTAGGAGAAAGTGATGATTACTTAGTGTATCCTTCCAGGTAATTATTAAACTACAATTATTCAGCGTATACTGGTATCCTGATTATTATTAAACTACAATTATTCAGCGTATACTGGTATCCTGATTATTATTAAACTACAATTATTCAGTGTATACTGGTATCCTTGTTGTTATTAAACCATGATTATTCAGTATATCCTGGCATCCTGGTTGTTATAAAACCATGATTACTTTAGTATATCCTGGTATCCAGGTTGTTATTAAACCATGATTACTCAGTATATCCTGGTATCCTGGTTGTTATTAAACCATGAATGATTACTCAGTATATCCTGGTATCCAGGTTGTTATTAAACCATGATTACTCAGTATATCCTGGTATCCTGGTTGTTATTAAACCATGATTACTCAGTATATCCTGGTATCCTGGATGTTATTAAACCATGAATGATTACTCAGTATATCCTGATTATAATTAAATCATGATAACTCATTATGTCCTGGTACCCTTGTTATTATTAAACCATGATAATTTAGTTATCCTATTATCCTGGTTATAATTAAACAATAGTTACTCTAATGTAATTACTCAGTATATCCTGGTATCCTGGTTATAATTAAACAATAGTTACTGTAATGTAATTACTCAGTATATCCTTGTATCCTGGTTATAATTAAACAATAGTTACTGTAATGTAATTACTCAGTATATCCTTGTATCCTGGTTATAATTAAACAATAGTTACTGTAATGTAATTACTCAGTATATCCTTGTATCCTGGTTATAATTAAACAATAGTTACTCTAATGTAATTACTCAGTACATCCTGGTATCCTGGTTATAATTAAACAATAGTTACTCTAATGTAATTACTCAGTATATCCTGGTATCCTGGTTATAATTAAATAATAATTACTTAGTGTATTCTGATTATCCTGGTTTTCATTAAACCATGAAAAAGAACAAAAAGTGGATTTTTCTAAAATGTTATAAATTCTTTATAATATAGTTCTTTGCCAATTAGATTTATTGTCAACCACAGAGCATTTCCATAGAAGATTACATAAAATCCCAAAATTTTTAATTCATTTGTTTCATTAGAACCATCTAAATTTATCTTTTAGTTGAATTGAATTGATTTTATATCAAACTATTTAAATAATTAGTATATGAGAATATAAGTATATAGTATGATAAATCGTATATTAAAGCGAATTGAAGAAGATTTAATGAAACTGTGAGTCCATGAGTTGATAGAGGTATAATCTTGATTATTTAGATTACTGGAGCAGTGTAACGATGTGGAGAAAAACCCTGGGCCTTTCGGTAGAAAATCCAAAGGAAAAAATGTCAGAAACATAAGTTTGAAAATATCATTATTTTATTATTGTTATTGACCTGTCTCACGGGGAACATTATATCATACCTTCCCCCCCTCAAAACTTTTTCATAAAAACTTTTGACACGAACCAAATGAAAATGTGATGTCACAAATAAAACATGATACCGGCAGGGGTATACAAAATGGATGAGACTTAAATATCATTCTTGAATCTGTAAAATAAACCGGTTAAAATGGGCTTTATACCATCTAGTTTTTTGTTTAGACCTAGACTTACAAAATAATTCCCGAGCCTCTTAATGATAATATTAGATTTAATAACTTTAACGTTTTTCTGGTACATTGTAAATGACATTAAAGAAATTCCGCATATTTTCAATTTTTATTTGCGAATTTTCAAATTATATTTGCATTTCTGGAATCCTCACCAGGTTTGGTTTAAACATTTTACAAAAGAGATAAGTTTCGAAATGTTAAATAGGTTTTATTTAAAAATGTCGGAATAAACAAATATCGGCGGTTAAAGGAAAAGAAAAAAATGCATAATCTTGAATTCTTGATCTCGATAACCTATGTAAACACTCTTAAGATAAGAATATATTATTGATCCTTCAATGCAATTTGTCCCTGCAGTGTATGACAACTACGGGATATCAAAGAGAAGTAAGGTTTATCCACATAGTCTGCATAAGATGGAGATTAAGGCTTTATTTCTGACTACTCGTAAATGATAATTAACCATAGATAAAGATAGATTGCGCATAAGACGACATTTATCATCCTGAAAGATATAAATGTACAGAGATGTTTTAAAGATATTCCAATTATATATAGATTAACTAGGTCGGTTATGAACATTGGCTGTTCTTATGTCATTGAGTACAAAGAGAAATGTACATTTTCCAGCGAGCCATGAATTTAAGAAATCTTTTGAAACTATAAAAAAAATATTTTTCAACCTATTTATTTTTTTGACATTTTCTGTACTATAGTTGGGTCCCCCAGAAAAGACGATAAAGACCTTCAACCAAAAGTAAGAGTTTCCTGTAAAAAGATCATATATGTTAAGACTAAAAAAAACTAATTTCTATTTTGAATTTTATTAACCTTAACCTTTCACAACTTTCATGATTTAAGTCTGCCCAAACCACCCCAAACCATAAAACGCCACTTATCCAGTTGAGGGAATGGGAGTGCTCAGCCCCCCCAAAGCTTGCTCCTGCTGACGCCCCTGATAGTGTAACTGAAAGTTCTTAAAAATTTATTCATTATCAAATTATTTTCTTGTAATTTTAAGCAAAGTTCATGAAAAAGTTCGTATATAGTCTTTAAAAAGTTAAAACCATGAAATAGAGCAACTGACAAATTGAATGATATATTTAACCATATGCATTGATGACAAACGCCGATTTTATTTTGATAGAAATTATTAATATCTGAATAGATTTATGTAATACAACCCGGCACTTGCTGTCAATACTGTCTGGGAAATTTATTCCAATATAGATAGAAGTGCAACCTGAGATTATAGATTCTAGACACAAGAATATCAAACAAAATACAAAAGAAAAATCTGTTTTGATTTTACATAATCCTATGTTTAAAGGCACCGTAAACGTAATTCTAAGAGACCCCTTCACCAAGATGGAAATGTCCGAAAATAGATGTAAAAACACTTGAAAAGTATTTAATCCTGATAATTTCTCTAATCTTTCCTGTAAGCAAGAAATGAGCAAGTTGGTTAATTTATAGAATTATCAATATAGCATAAAGTTATAATAAGCTGTTTAAATTTTTCAAACATTTTCACATTCATTTTCACAAATAAATGTATTTCGTCAAAATAGTTTGATTATTGATTTAACGTTTTTAGATTAGTTTATGTAAAATTATCAGCATTATGAATTTATCTTTATTTGTTCTTAACTTATAATTCCAAACTGTATATGTATATATATATAAGTGAATATTCAAAAATCATATATGTATTATATATTGAAGTGCTTGATTGATTAATTGATTAAGTGCCGAGAAGTGGAAGATCTCCGGGTACTTGTGGATCGACAGGCAGAGATGATCGAGATACAGCGATCCGAGATACAGGTATACCGATAATGTACAAAGATATGGTACAAGTAAAATGATTTATCATTCTGATTTTCTAATAAGCCTTTATAAAAACCTATCCGTTTATTTCTATTTTCCAATTACAGCTTATGTATGAGGTATACATAACGTTTAACAGGAAAATAGTATATTTCTCATAGAGAAAAGGTATTTTTAGTTTTGTCAAGTTTTGGATTAAGATTGGCCATTTTGACACAGCTTAATTTATATATATCTTTACGGATCAACCGTCGTTTTTAATATTTAATGTTTGGGAGCTTCTGACTTTTCTGATCTATTTTTTTATTAAGATTTGTTATTTTATGTACAGAGATTTGTTTGTTTATGTACAAAGGTTTTTTTTTTGTGTACAAAAATTTGTTTGTTTATGTACAAAGTTTTTTTTTGTTTATGTACAAAGATTTGTTTTTTTTATGTACAAAGATTTGTTTGTTTATGTACAAATATTTGTTTCTTTATGTACAAAGATTTGTTTGTTTATATGCAAAGATTTGTTTGTTTACATTTTTTTCTTTCTAGATATTAAAGAAGAAGGTTGAAGACGGAGAGCGGAAACATGTAGATTTTAGGTACAGTTGGCACATTTTAATTAAAAATGGGTGTAAAGATAATTTTAAGTGACCCTCCATTTATTAAGTGCCTACCTGATTAACGGTGCTGGGACATTAAATATAGAACATTTGAAAGACAGGACATTTTATATATGAATTTCATAGAAAAAGAAATTCTAGATACGACGTACATTTCAACGACAGTATATTTCATAGACAGACTATTTTATAGGCAGCAAAGATTTTTGATAGAAAGGTAATTTTACATAGGAGCATTTTTTTCATAGCAATGTAAGGTTTTGGGTTTTCAAAAACTTCAAAAAAAATATGATCAGTTTGAGATAAGTTTTTTTTATAAAATTTCCTATATCTGTAAAATTCCTGTCAATGAAATGTGCTCTATTCATAAAATGTCTTTCTATGAAATGTCCCTGATTCACAGCAGTATTACGTAAACAAATACCTTAGCAAGGACGATTGAGATGTCCTTATTTTATTATTATTTTTTAGTGTTATGATGATAAAATATCTTATTAAAACGATCAATTTTAATAAAAATTTCTAAATTACTAATTGTGAAACAGTTTTAAGGAACTCACGTTTTTTTTCTTATGTGAAAATAATTCCTTCTATATTGTTTAGTTCAGAACTAAGTGAAATACGGAAAAACTGGCTTCAGGCCCAAGGAATGCTAAATAAATATATCAGGAACAATATACAATGTAAAAATTTATAAAAGTTATTCATCAAAATTATATAAAATTGATATGATTTAGCATTTAAATATCAGGAGATTCGAAGGTTATTCCAGATTTAGCTCTCAATGCAAAGGTATTTACCAGTTTCTCATTTCATTCTCAAAAATTAAATTTTAAATTTTTCTTTCTTTTTAAAATAATGTTTCAATAATTTACTGCACAAATTCAATACAATCTATAATCAGAATTCAATTCTGCATCGCAGATTTTCACGAGATATGCCAAAAATGCGCAAACACCAATTTCAATCTGCCAATTTTATCCAAGAATTCTGTACATTTCACATTTCATCATAGAATGATTTAAACTTAGAATGATTATAGCTGCTATAGAAAATATTTTGAAAAGTTTTCAACATTATATGTAAAAATAATTCAGAAGTGCACCTTGACATTATTTTTTTTTTAAAAATCTGATAATTGATAAAAATGTCCACTAAAAAATCAAGAATGATTTCCAAATAGCTCCTTTAAATTATAAATCAAAATTGGGTCTGACAATATTATAAAAATTTCGAATAAAAAATCAAATTGTGACTGAAAAAAAAATCAAATAATTACCTGTACCTTTCAAAATGTTGACTGATATTACTCAAATTGAAGACTTATAATATAATTCAGAATGATATCCTGTTCATGCCACCAAATCAAAATGGTAGCCATGTAAAACTATCTAAAATGGCGTCTGTGTCAAAATAAACTGATAACGGGTTCAGGTTGAGAGCCTGGTTGGAGCTTATAATGATATCCAGGATAGGCTCTACGAGATCGACAAGACCTGGAGGAATAACCTTGTCTTCTTCGGAGTACCAGCAGATACAGGGAACACAATAAAACTAACTACAACGAAGTACTGATCCTGACTTTTCAGTCATATTTTGATCTCGAACTCTGCCGAGACATAGTGCATGTCTTAAAAGACTTTTTAAACTTTAAGATTTAAAATATATATTCCAACAAAAGAGTATAAACATCAAATACGAGAAATTTTCATTTAAAGGATTAAAATGGGTTCCACAGTTAATGCTCACTGACTTAAACCAGACCAAAAACTTGCCAAAAACTCAAATTTTCTATTCTTTACTTTTATGAATACTGACGGTGTAAGCATTTGCGATTTAAAAATACGAATTCTTCTAGATCATTTAATTACCAAAATTTTAAACAACAAGTCTAAAAGATTAATATGAAACGAGATCTAGACAGACCCCCAAGAAAGTTACGTGCGCATGCCGCAATGAATTATAAGACAGAGAAAAAGAGCCTAGTCTAGCCGCGGCGCACTACCTCCAGTGTCTTGTAACTTTATGCGGCAAGCTACCTGAGATCTAGTAGTTTCTATGTGTATTCAGGTACAGATGAAGACTGTTTTACATCAGAAGAAAAAGTTAGAGATATAATCAGGAAAACAGATCAACATATAATCATTGAAAACAAATATTTGTTTTTAACATTAATCAATAATACGCCGGTCTCTCAAATTTTTCAATTCTGAAAATTTCCACACAAATTCATATTCTAACCTATATTTGAAAATGGTGCACTGTCTCATTGATATTTCATGTTTATATCTATCTCTAAAAGTTGATTGTTCGGTCAAGGAGAAAACTACGGATATCACGAGATATTCCCTTTAACAGGTAAATATAAAACAACAAGAACCTTGAACAAATTAAGAACAAAATTATGAAAGTTCATAATAATTACATAAAATGGGTGAAATACTAATTTTCTCAGAGAATTTTAACATTGTTTAAAGTATTGAAAGCAGTTTTTAGAACTGACAGAGATTTTACAGTTGTTCTTTTAGAACTGACAGAGCTTTTACAGTTGTTCTTTTAGAACTGACAGAGCTTTTACAGTTGTTCTTTTAGAACTGACAGAGATTTTACAGTTGTTCTTTTTAAAATACTTTAAAGCTTTAACAATAAATGAATTTGGCATTTAATGAATGGATTGATAAATCTATTAATTTTAAAGTTGATGATGTAATAAATTAATTTTGTTTCTATTCTTAGAGTGACTAAAATACTTTAAGTAAAGATTATTCCATGTTCTTGATAATCTTTAATTATTATCTAGGTGTCCTTACTTCTTATTAAGACGTCCATAAGGGTCAGAAAGATATAATACTCTAAAAATAGATATCGCAGTTTAGCAAGACAACAAAATATATATCAATACGTTAACACATTTTAACAATATGGTGATTCCACCGTTTGGTCCTTTTCTCAGTAAGCTAATGTGACTCTTGATGAAAATTATAACTAAACATTTTTTATAATTCTATGTCAGTGGATGCGTTTTAATTAAAAAAATGTAAATAGACTTTAAGTTCCAAGATTGTTGAAATATAAATCAAACCACGATTGAAATCAAATTCTTAAAAAAATGAACACATCTTACCCCTTGTTAGCCTAGGTGTATATTGCATATGCAATATATATTATTTATACATATACATAGTTGATGCAGAATGTATTGTACAATGTACATATTGTATATACAGGGTGACACGTGTAAAGGATATTATTATGTATTCATGTATTGTATAGGTGTTAGGTACTTTCCCAAAGGCATTTTCTCAATGGCAACTTCCCAAGTGACAATTTTCTAAGTGGCAACTTTAAAAAATGTGCAATTTCCCAAGCGCCAACTTCCCAAATGTACTTCCCGCTTGGGAAATTGCACATTTGGGAAGTTTCCACTTGTGAAAATACCCTTGGGAAGTTGTCGCTTGTGAAAAGGCCTTTGGAAAAGTACCTAACATAATTGTATAAACAGGGTGACACGTGTAAAGCATATATATTATGTATTGTATAAACAGGGTGACACGTGTAAAGCATATATATTATGTATTGTATAAACAGAGTGACACGTGTAAAGCATATATATTATGTATTGTATAAACAGAGTGACACGTGTAAAGCATATATATTATGTATTGTATAAACAGGGTGACACGTGTAAAGCATATATATTATGTATTGTATAAACAGGGTGACACGTGTAAAGCATATATATTATGTATTGTATAAACAGAGTGACACGTGTAAAGCATGGTCCCGAGTTTAGAGGTCAGAAACCTATCCAAGTCCAGTTTGCTAATTACAATGACAAGGTAAACTTTAATCAAATCTTATTTTTAATCCTGTTTTTATATTAATGGAGCAATTTGATTGATTGAAAATGCAAAAGGGAGATATTTCTGCTTGAAATGGGGTTCAGAGTTTTAATTGTGAAAAAAGCAACCTTAGATTTCTTCTAGTTGCGTGTATTCTAATATATATCATAATATTCATATGCACTTACATATTTAAAAAAAATCTAAAACTATGTGAAATGGAGTTGAGTTTTTGCCCCATACTCTGATTTTCTAATCTCTATATCTTTGTAACCCAATGTCGTTGAACTTAAATATTTCAAACTATTAATACTTATAGATAAAATAAATTAAGTTTGAAATATGAAAGGTTTGCACTATCAGGTTGCAAAAATATTGGAATCAGAAGATTTGAGTTTCTGGCAAAAACTTAATTCCTTTCCAGGAAGACGTTTTGAGAAAAGCAAAGTTATTAAAAGGAGGAAATATTCATATTTCAGAGGATTTCTCCAGGTAAATATAGTTGTAGTAAACATAGGAAATATTCATATTTCAGAGGATTTCTCCAGGTAAATATAGTTTTAGTAAACATAGGAAATATTCATATTTCAAAGGATTTCTCCAGGTAAATATAGTTTTAGTAAACATAGGAAATATTCATATTTCAAAGGATTTCTCCAGGTAAATATAGTTTTAGTAAACATAGGAAAAATTCATATTTCAGAGGATTTCTCAAGGTAAATATAGTTTTAGGAAACATAGGAAATATTCATATTTCAGAGGACTTTTCATGGTAAATATAGTTTTAGTAAACATAGGAAATAGTTATATTTCAGAGGATTTTTCAAGGTAAATATAGTTTTATTAAACATAGGAAATATGATGCGGAAAGTTAATAATTTGTTATTATAATTATATAAACCAAAGAGAACGTGTCAATTATATTTTCTTTAAGTCAATTTAAGATTTAATTCTAGTCATGCGAAGAACAAAAAACTCCCCATGCTTTTTTTACTAATAAAATATATTTAAAAACAAAATAAAATACATTAAAAAAGTTCTAGACTCGATAATTGTGTAAATTAAAATGCATTTGGTTTGTTTTGTAAAAAATCAAGCAAAAAAAAAATATCCTTTTAGAATTCCAGTTTAAGTCGTGTACCTTAGCATAGTATTTGCCAATGGAAAATAAAAGTATTTAATAGAATCCAATATTACCTTAAACAACTCTAGTATTACATTTACAATACTTTATTATTTAAATAATGTTTTAGCATAACTATTCTTTCTGGTTCATTACGTGTTTTAAACATAAAGCTTTCATTGTATCCCTAACTCTGTGGATTTGCAACAGGGAAAAAGCAAGTTGGCAAATCCCAATATTGGAATATAATTCTAAATGATTTAACCCTATCTCTCCCGTGGGGAGAACGGGGTAAATTAACAATGGTCTGTTACAGTAAAGAAACCCCCTTTGTATTTCTAAACATCAAAAATAAAGTTTGATAACGGTTTAATTTATCTGTAGGACTCCAGCTAGTTAATTATATTTAGGCAGACTACTTTACTCTTTAAACATTGATTAATAAAATGTGAAAAATAAATTAATAAGATTTAACTCTCTACTCTGCGGATGTGACATTCAAGTGCTTCTCAAAAATGCAAATATTTATGAGTAGATTAAGTAACAAAGAAAGAGATTGGGTAATGCCTAATCTAGATTTTTTTAAACACAGACAGGCCTTTTGTCCGTCTTTTACCATCCCTTTATACTTCAAAGACTTTTTTTATTGTAAAAAATCCTTTAAATTGCAATTTTTTTATTGACAAGTAAAGAGGGGGATGTGAATATTTCCCTTCTTTTCGCTCTATTAAAGGTTAATAAAAACATTATTTTTTTAGGCTTAATACATGTTAGTCGTTTATTTAAAGTTTATTTCTATATAATAAAGCGCTGTGCTCATATTAGTATATTTGTATATAGTCATATAGCTGGATCAAAATGTCTGAAATTTTTTAAAATTCATTTCGATATTTTTTTCTTTCAAAAATCAAAATTTTTTATTTCGATTTTTTAAAAATTCCATGGGCAACGTTAGCTATAATATCATAAGATGTTTTACTTTTGTAGAAAAGTTCGTGAGCAGAGACAAGAGTTGATTAAGTTTATGAAGGAAATTAGATCCAGGGATCCAGCTCGTCGGATGGTTCTCAGGTCAAATATTCCAAAATTTTTAAACTTTTAAATATTAACAAATTTAAAACTTCAAAATATTTACAATTTTACAACTTTTAAATATTAGTTTGGTCAAACTTTGCAGAAAGATTTCAATTTGCTGTCTATTGAAATCATGTAATGGTTAGGAAAATTATCATCAAATTTTAAATTTTTATTTCTTTGCGGGATTCTGCACCGACTTTATTTCATGAATTATCTTTTGCACATGATTCTTTAAGTTTAGGGAGTTTACAAATAATGTTTAATCGCCCTGAAATCTGTAAAGTATTCACAAGGGCTAAGTTTATATTATAATGTTTAAACAATGTTAAATATTGATTGCTATACACGGTTTGGAACTTATTTCCCCTGAACTAGGTATGATAAACTGTATATGGGCCGGGATGTGTTTTTCTACAACGATGGAACTCAGCGAGTAGAAAAACTTCATCATCATTTAGACACAGGTTTATGCAAATTTAACAACTTAAACGAATAAAAATACCCTTTGAGATTGAAGGCAAAAGAATTGAGTCTTTGCAACAAATCCCAATTTTCTAATACCTATATATCTACAACCAAATTATGTAAACCTTTGATATTTCAAACTTCGATTGTTTGATATAACAGAATCACAGTTTGAAATATCTAAGGTCTACAACATTGGGATGTTAAGATATAGGGATTTAAAAATCAGAGTTTGTGACAAAGACTTAATTCCTTTTGAGTGAAAGACACAGCTTGCTGTAACAAAGACCAAACTGTTAAATCCCCGTAATTTGAATTTATTTTAAACCATGCAATCCACATTAAATTTTATCAAATGTTTCTAAATTCTTCAAAGATCCCTCGTAAAAATGTCTGAAATATTTAAAAAGAAATTATCTTAAATGATCTTGATAATTTTCAATCTGTTTCTCAGGTTCTCACAGTAATCCTGTCCTGGAGAACCTGATAACCGAGGATGCCAGGAATGCTCATGATGCTGCTCTACTCAGGTGAGAAACCAGGAACCCAATTTAATGAATTTAATGAGCTGAACTGCCTATGGCCGGTTCAAATTTGAACCACCGATTCAAAATTATAGATTACGAAAGGATTTGAATCAATGCTTTAAATTTGACCCGGCGGTGGGCAGATCAAATTCATTAAATTCAGCCCCAGTTCAGTTATCTTAAAAAGACTGCTCATGTTTTTTTAATGGTTGAACTGAGATTTGCTAGACTCAGGTTAAGAACCAGTTTATTTATCTTAAAGATACTGTTCATGTTTTTTATGGTTTAACCAAAAATTTTCAAGTTGAACTGAGATTTGCTAGACTCTGGTTGAGAACCAGTTTATTTATCTTAAAGAGACTGTTCATGTTTTTTATGGTTTAACCAAAAATCTTCCATGAACCAAGACTTGCTAGACTCACATAAAGAACCAGTTTGTTTATCTTAAAGGGGCTGTTTAGGATTTTGGCACAGTTCAATTTAACTGAGTTAAACCATTCTTTGTGTGTATTTTGGAGCACACATCAAACCTTCACTAGTATATACAATATATACAGCCGAACCATCGAGTTCTGTAACATGATACATTTTGAAATTTGATAGGATTAAATCTTCGACAGCATGATAATTTACAACACCTTCAGTACATTCAATACTGAAAACTTCTGATTGTATACTTCTGTTCAAAAAATTCTGCATTAACCATCCTTTAATAGACTTGAAGGCGACAAACAAATTCTTTCATTGTATTCATTAATATAGCATTAGCTGTATGTGAAGGAATAAGGGCAATGTTTTGTGGTTCGTTTTCACAAATTCAGTTTTTTTCTAAGATGTTTATTACAAATGAAATACGATTTTTATTTTGCTTTTAGCAATCAAGCTAATTTTTAATAATAATAAATATGATAGATATTTATCAAACCGATTTTTTAAAACGATTTAAATTGCTTAGGTTGAGTAAAAATGTGTATAGTGTAATAAATGCAAAATTATCGAGCATACAATTTTGAAATAGGATATACCATCTCAAATTTTTTGTGCAGTCAAACAACCCTATAATAAGCTCAGTATTTAAATGCTTGTATTTAGAAGACCCAGATCTAAACTAGGATCTCGAACCAGAACTCCAGTTCTCTCCAGACAAAACTCAATGTCTATGGATGAGCTTAATCACAACGAGGTTGGTTTATCTTCGTGCAGTGGGGGTATTTCACCTCTTTTGACATTTCTTTTTTTACTACATTTTCTCTTACTATTGTATATTTTTTTGTAAATAGTAAAAACATTGCCGAATATATAAAATTTGGCAACCTTGCGAGATGGTATGCGAGACTGGTTGTACGTTCTCCAACCCCTTTTTATCAATACTGAGCCCGCGATTTAAAAACTTCGGCTCGAGCCGTAATTCCTTAAACCTGACTTTAAGACCCAGTCTTCGACCCAACTCTGACCGACCTTGGTTGGTTTTAGTGGAGAATAAGGAGCTCAACGTTGAGTCTTATAAAAACCCGGAATGCGCCAATTCCTACCATTATAATCAGACAAATATAATATTAAACTGGTTTTTTGAACTCAACTCTGTGGAAAATAAGATGCAGCTTGAATCCATAGCTCAAGTCGTAAATAAGGACCAACGACTGCTCAGACCCGAGCCATATTTTCTCAAAGGAGTTGAGTCTTTGCCACAAACTCTAATTTTATAATCCCTATATCTTTGGAACCCAATGTCGTAAATCTTTGATATTTCAAACTTATATTATTTGATCTAACAAAATTCATAGTTTGAAATATCTAAGGTCTACGACATTGGAATCCAAAGAAATAGGATTTAGAAAAGCAGAGTTTGTGGCAAAGACTCAATTCCTTTTTTAAATCGCAGCTCTGTTTAGATAATCTTCAAAGGTTTAAACTTATTTTCTGCTTCATCTTTGCATTTATTAAACCATGGTTCATAAAATTAACAAACCTTTGGGACATTTATCTTCTATTTACTGTTTACTTATCAAACAAGGAAAGAACTTCCTTCCCTTAAACTCTATTTTATAATTTTTGCATTTTTGCAAACTGATGCTGATAACCTTCTTGCTAAACTCATAAAAGTTTAAGCAACCAGAGGCCGAATTTAAAGAATTTTAGCCGAGGTTTAAATTTAAGCCATTGGTTCCACTTAAAATTTTTTTATTGTTTCAAGATTAAAGCCGGCGCTTAATTGAAACCGGTTTTGGCGGATTTAGGACGTGGCTCAAATTCATTTTTGGACACAGGTTGCAAAGTTATGGGTATAATAAGATTATAATATTGATCTTATATCAAACCATTTTCAATATTTATCAGGATTATAATTATGGTACACCCCAACCTACTCCCTTAAGACGACCAGCCACTAGTAGGTTAAGAGGAGTTCAGAAATCTGCATCAGCTGATTACCTAAACTCAATGCCTACTCCTACCAGGCTCCTTGTAAGCTTTATTAATTCTTTTTATTTATCAGCTTCACATCCTGAGACCAAATTTAAAGAGTTTTTAGCCAGGTCTAAACCAGAAACCTGGCTGAACTGTTTACCGCCAGTTCAAATTTGAACCATTGATTCTATTTCTTACTCAATCTTTAACTTTGAATCGGTGGTTTAAATTTGAACTGACAGTAAGTAGTTCAAATGCATTAAATTCGGTCTCTGCTCTCGAAAAATTTGTTAATTTCAATATTATCAACCATATTAAAGAAACAATCGCTTTAATTTCAAGTAACCCTCCATTTACAATTTTAGGTCACTTTAAATCTATATGTTAAAGACATCTTTGTTTTTCTAGAGAAAAATAGTTTAAATTCTTCAAATTTTGCATTGTTTCAATATAGATATAATCCGTAAGTCACGCAATTAATAAAAAAAAAAAACAATTGATCAGACAAATGTTTTATGGGTACCTTTGTGCATTGAACATTTCATTCTATAACTGAAAAGTCCTCGAATTTACTCTACAATCTTTAAAACATTAAAAAATGTTTTCTTTTGTTTTAGGAACAAGCACGAAACAGATCTTCTATGATTCTTCAGCCTGAAGCATACACTAATCAGACTCCGTCAAGACAGAAGAATGTCGAACAACACTCCAAAACTTTTTCATCTGACGAGGATACAGAGATAGCTGTAAATATCCCAGATACTCCTAAAAAATCTCTATTGGTTAATGGCTCTCCGACCAAAACCAACCCATTTCCTAGACTAGCAGTGCCCAGAAGTGCTAAGGAATTATTACATAAGATTTTATCACAAAAGATTGTTAATTGATTACATCAAAGATAAATTAGAGAGGGTGTAGTTGGAACTAGTAACGGATTACTCAGATAGATTAAAGTAGCTGTGTTTGGATTTAATCATAGATTACAAAGACGAGTTAGAAAGGAAGTATATGGAATTAGTACAGATTACGCAGATGGATTAGAGAGGGTGTAGTTGGAATTAGTCACAGATAACACAGATGGATTGGAGAGGGTGTATTTGGATTTAATCACAGATTATACAGATGGATTAGAGAGAGTGTAGTTGGATTTAATCACAGACTATTCAGATGGAATAGAAAGGGCGTAGTTGGATTTAATCAAAGATAACACAGTTGGATTAGAGAGAGAGTGTAGTCGGATTAAATCAAAGATAATACAGATGGATTAAAGAAAGAGCCTAGTCAATTTTAAACAGATGTATTAGAGAAGGTGTAGTTGAATCGAATCACAGATTATTCAGATTGGATAGAGAAATTATAGATGAAATTGAAATCATAAAGTACAATCTCATATTCAATTTACGAGCCATTTGTAACCACACAAACTCAATCTCTTGTCCAATCTGTGAAATCTCTGGATTTAAAGTTTGTCTAGAATTAAAGACAATATTGTCATTACTGTATCGATAAACTATAATCTTCTTTGTAATAAAATCATTTTAAAGGGAAGAGAAAGAAAATCTGTTGTTTTCAAAGGTAACATTACAATAGCTGGGCAAAAAGGGAGGGATGTCAAAAGTTGTCTAATGTCTGAAAGATTAAAGGGGGTGTTGGGTTGATGCTGATCCCGAATTGATTTCGGATTTGATCGCTACAAATTTAACTTCTAACTGTTGCGCATATAACAAGAAAATGGTGTAAACCCCATATATAATGGTCCTTGAATTTATATGGGCTCTACTCTCTGGTCCTGTCTATACGGGCTCTCTGGTCCTGTCTATATTTGGGCTCTACTCTCTGGTCCTGTCTATAAGGCGTCTTTAAAATTTGTTTCTCAAGACGGGCCACAGATAGAAGTTAAAGTAGTAGCGATCCAAACCAAATTTAATTGGAGGACAGCCAATAACCCCTTTTCATTTTTCGCGAACACTCCCTTTACGCTTATTCATTTTATTTTTGCTATTTTAGATTCTAGTGACGACGAAGATGAAATTTTGGAGTTGAATGTGAGTAATCATATCCAGGACACGCCTAGACCGGGTAAACCATTTTTTATTTATATATCTTGAAAAGTGTATAAATTTTATCATTTCCTCCATTGTTTCTACTGAAGAAGTGCGCAAGTCATTAATGTCTTCTTCATTCTTGACCAGACATTTGTTATTACGAATCCAGTCCCTTTAAGCATAGTATTTTAAATATCAAGGAGAATAATCGTAGTTTGAATTTGACCAGATTCTAAAATATATTGTGATTAGAATTAGATGGAGAGTGTAAACTAGTTGTTCCAGCAGTAGGATCCAATTCAACAATAAGTCGGCCCTCCTCACCATCCCTTCCTCCCATCTATCCTCCAGCTATCACACCCTATTCTTCAACTACCACGCCCTCATCTTCAGCTTCACCGCACTCTTCTCTAGTCAACACGTCCTCTGGTACAATATTATATAAATGAATACTCGTCTCAAACTATAATTTTCTCCTCCCTATTTCATTCCTATCTAAGGTTTACAGCAGATATTAAAATATAAGGGAACCCGGCTTTGTCTGGAAACTGAATTTTCTCAATAAAATTCAACCTTCTCGATCATCTTAGAAACTTTTAAATCAAACCATTTTGTGGTTCCTACCGTGTTCCAATTTTAGGAAAATCAGTCAAGGGGTACATATACATGAGTTATCTTTAAACATCCAAACAGACAAACAGAGATTACAACTTACATAGATATGATAATAATGAGTATGAGTATCAGTTCCTTGCTGTATATGGTTCATAGAATTAACTAAAAGAAAAGTAAAAAATTGACATTTCAAGTGACCCTTTTTTGAAAGTGAACAGTAATGTGAATAATTTGGGGTGTTTTTTAGCTTTTATTTTTTAGAAGAAAAAAATGATGTCTCATTCATTTTTGAAAGTACATCTAGATTACCTTTAATGCATGCAAGCTACTTTTTTCATTAATGATTTTTAGATCTTAGTACTGCACTGGTTCCTGTACTGCAGAGTTCTAATGGTACCAACTGTACATCAGTGTACACAAACACTCCCATTGATCCCCTGGATAGATCTGTTGTACCGCTCAGCTCCGGGAATAATATGATTGTACAGCATGTAACCATGAACGGGATGCCCCTGGTTAACTATGAAAAAACTGAGATAGTTCCCTTGAATTTTAAATCTGGGATTCCAGCAGCAATTAATTATACAAATCATAAATCTGCACACAATAATTCAGGTCAGTCACATTTTTTATAATAAAACAAGACCTTTGTATATATATATATATATATATATTGCATATAGCTGGCCAAACGGCTGGACCGATTGGGCTGAAATTTTTTGTGAACACTCATGGGTGGCCACTGGCCGGGGGGTTTTATAGGCTAAAAAACTTCAAAAATTATTTTGTTTCAAAAAAAGTTTTTTTTAATTTTTCCACGACAACGCTTGTTTATTATAAATTTAATATTAGCGCATTTCGCTGACCTCATTCAGAGAATTTTTAAGTATATTTGGTTAAAAAACTTTCCATCTATTGGCTCAAACATCCTAAAAAGATTATTTACCTGGTAAAATATCACAAAATCAATCAACTTTTTATTATACCTTCGTTAGCATCGCGCAGGATTACCCCCCAATAGATGAGAGTAAAGAGGACATGAAACTCTTTAAACATTACGATCCCATAGTTGAATTAGGTCTTTTGTCTTGAATAAAGTCGTTTAATGGCTTATTCAATTATTGGGCTAAAAAAAGAAACAAAAGAATTGAGTCTTCGCCACAAACTTTAAATTTTCTAATCCACAAATCTTTTCTGTCTGGTAGTGTAGACTTTGATTATTTCAAATCTGAATTATTTGATCTAACATAATTAATAGTTTGAAATATCTATGGTCTACGACAATGGGTTACACATAAATTGGAAGTATAAAATCAGGGTTTGTGGCAAAGACGCAAATGTTTACAGTTGCAGGGAATTGTGACAATAAAGAAACAGACGGTTGCAAATTTAAATTAATACTTTTAAATTCAAGCAATTTTTTAAAAGACTTTTTTACTATATTTTATGTTCCGTTGTATTCCTTAGACTACAAATTAAATAATAACTTTCATGTCCATTAAAATTGTTTTCTAGAAATAAAATAATTAAAATAGTTTCAAAGTTTTTGTGATATTGCAGATTGCGGCATAATTTTGCAAGACTTGATTATTGCAATTTGCAAAGTAAAAGAATAGAAAAGTTAGGTGACAACATTTCAATACTAGGACAAGAAAAGAATTTTGAATTAAATGTCCAAATATTGAAAGTTTTGCATTCTCTGAGTTCTTACGACCTCAGCTCAGGGATATTTTGTTGAAAAACAATCAAATTAATTTTGATTCTACAGAGTTTATTAAAAAAAATTTTCTTTAGGTTAAATTCTCATTTAAGCATTATAGCTTTCAGGTTTATGGGTCCTGCATACTTTTAAAGAAGAACGTATTATGTTTGCACCAATCAATTTCTAACCATAGTTAACTTCAACCCTATTGTCTTGCTTTTTACGTTTTAGATCTAATACATTGTTATAGTTTATCTAATGTAATCCAAATCGAAACAAAAAGCGATTGTGTAAATTCCTCTGAATTGATTCTAATTTATTTCAGGAAAACTGCCACTAACCTTCTCATCCCATTTCAATGGTGGATCCAGTAAACCAACCAATCTTGTCAAAACATCAAGAGGTAATTTAAATTTTTTAAAACAAAAAAAAAATTAGAATTTTTAGAATTTTTTCTCTTTAAATATTTAGAAGGAACGAGTTCACAGACGGGTATGCTAAAACTCAATGTAGCAATTGCTGGAGAGTTTTCAATGGGAGAGTTCAAGGAGAATTAATCAAGAGAATATCACTGAACATAACATTTATTCCTAAACAGGCCAGAGAGGGGCAGGGGGTGGGGGTGCAAGCACTAGCACTCTCATTTTTGGACACAAGTTTTTTTTACTTGTAAGGAAATGGTATTTTAAGGGTCTTTCTAAAATAAAATTTTTAGATCTTAAAACTTTAATCATAAAAAAATTATTTTAGATTTTTTTAACACAGGCCGGACTTTTTACCGCCCCATTCATAAAAAATAAAAATCATTTTAAATCCTTTAAATTTCTATCAATTTGAAAGTAAACATAATTCACGGTGATAGTATCAAAAATAAGAGTGCAAGGACAAAAAAACTCAGTTACAATTAGCTTTCTCTGGGATATCTTCGTTTTCAGATTGGTTGCGTATTTGCTGAATATGATCTGTTTAAACCTACTATTTATACACAAAATTGTATATATATATATATGCATTTTCGTATGAATTTGACACCGTTTTAAAGCAATTACTCGAGACCGGAATATCAGATATAATTTTCATGGGTCGCAATCAAGAGCTTAAGTGATAAGTTTTCAGCCCCTTTCATTTTTCCTTTAAGAAAACTAAAAATGTGCAAATTTGGTTTGTCATAGGCTTTCCAAAAAGCTAAAAATTATCAACATCTAACAACTGAAAGTGGGTCAAAACAAAGATGTTTAGTTCGTTTCAGAAAAAATAGTCATTCAGGCAGTATCCCTGAGGACTCAGACAGTTAGTATAAAAGCCCGTTTTTAGACCCCAAGGGAGGGCTATGGGTATTTAGGAAAAGTCAGAAAATTTCAAAAGCCTGAGACTAATACTTTTTGAGTTATGAAAAAGAAACTGCAGGGGGTGGAGTCAAATTAACCCCCTCCCCCTCCCCCCAGCAGGAATAGGGTTAAGTATAATTTCAAAAGAAACATGATGTACGCTAGTAATTATAGAATTAAAAGAATTGTTCTCCATTTATTAGTTATAAATAAAAGATATATTGAACTGTCTACTGATTTTGAGTAATTTAAGACCAAACAAACCGAAATCCAAACAAAACCAAATTTTTGAATCCTTCTTAAAAGTTGATTGCACGAACTCTCTCTCTCTCTCTGGTGCAGGAATTATAAAAGTTTAATTAAACTTGAAGAAATGAACTTGCAAAAATATAGAATTAATACAAATATATTTGTTATCAAAGACGGATACTAGACATGACTTTGTAAAAAGTTTTAATGAATCAAAATAACAATTCCAATTGAATTAAAATAATTATATAAAGTCTCCTTTTGAAAATATTATTTTTTTAGAAATTGTGTTACACTACGTTATAAATAAATATAAAGGATTTGAGATTTTGAAGACATTATCAATTATTAAAGTTTATAGAGTTTTATTATTTAGAATTAATATGATTCTTTAAAACTAAACAAAATATTGCGTGTTTTAATTAGACATTTTAGACATTTTAGACAGCTGGAAAACCATTAAATTCCCCAAATCCTTGATTAGCAAAATGAAACTATTGTTCTTGGTTAATGGTGTTTTACATTTCATGGTTTTGCGTTTTAGTCCATGGTTTGATTAGACAGGGGTACCTACAAAGAATGAAACTTAAAGATTACTTAAAAATATTTAAATATAACAATTTTAAGGTTAAATCAAATTGTCTGCATTGAATATACTCTAATAAAAGTTTTCAGTTGGAGGGAATCACAGTTACAATGAAAAAGAAAGAATAAATTCCTTACAGTCGTCTCTGGAATCTTATCCTTTGTTGGTAACCCATCACTTACATACGAATAAGATTAAGCTAAGTTTTAAGACTGGGTCTATATTGAAGTGTCGCTCGTCCTTGGCCCTTGTCCGAAATATGATCTTTCACCTTCTCAAGTTTGAATTAGATTTTTCAAATTTTTTTTTTTTAATCATCTTGATTATTATGAAACCCTGTACTTTTACTGGTTTTATTATTGTAAAACTCTGTACTTTTACTGGTTTTATTATTATGAAACCCTGTACTTTTACTGGTTTTATTATTATGAAACCCTGTACTTTTACTGGTTTTATTATTGTAAACCCTGTACTTTTACTGGTTTTATTATTATGAAACCCTGTACTTTTACTGGTTTTATTATTATGAACTCTGTACTTTTACTGGTTTTATTATTATGAAACCCTGTACTTTTACTGGTTTTATTATTATGAAACCCTGTACTTTTACTGGTTTTATTATTGTAAACCCTGTACTTTTACTGGTTTTATTATTATGAAACCCCTAAACCAACTGTATTTTCTTTCCTGAGGTATTTTTGTTGCATTTGTTTATTCGGAAGTTGTCTAGTCATGCTTCCTGTTTTTATACCATCTCATTTATTTAACGTTTTCCTTTTATTGTCCTCAAACTGAAATTATAAAACCAAAATTATAGAACAGACTGTTCCTTGGGAACCCAGTTTTGCATGAAACTAAGTTGTCTCAACCTTTTTACATGAAATTATGAACACCTGAAACTTCAAAGCCAACCTACTCAACCTTTTTACATGAAATTATGAACACCTGAAACTTCAAAGTCCTGCTCAACCTTTTTACATGAAATTATGAACACCTGAAACTTCAAAGTCAACCTGCTCAACCTTTTTACATGAAATTATGAACACCTGAAACTTCAAAGTCAACCTGCTCAACCTTTTTACATGAAATTATGAACACCTGATACTTCAAAGTCAACCTACTCAACCTTTTTACATGAAATTATGAACACCTGAAACGTCAAAGTCGACCTGCTCAACCTTTTTACATGAAATTGTGAATACTCTTAAGATTTTAACGAGCTCCCCGATCAAAATTTGAGGCAAATCGGTCTAGTGTATTCTCAGCTTTAGGATCAGACATTCTAGAAAACAAAGATTACCACTTTTAATGTAAAGTTATTTTCTTGCTTTTGCTCAAAATACATACTTGTTAAAATTACAAATAACTGATTGTACACCTAGTAATTTAGAAAAAAGTAAGGAAAAAAGAGGGAAAAATTATGGAATGAAAGAATGAACCCCATTGACTGTAATATGTTACAGATTGGTTTATATACTAAAAAATTATATGAGTAGCATTACCATGATTTTATATTTGAATTCCTTAAAATTAGAAGATGAAGATGTTCGATCAAAATTTATAAACACAAGGACTTTAGACCGCTTCGCGCCCATCTTGCATTTTAACTTTTAATTGTGGTTCTAACTGTAAGCGCCATCTTCTCTTTGTAAATATACAATAATACAAAAAATTTCGATGATTGTATAATATTTTTTTGCGCATTTATAAATGAAAAAGTTTGTACACAATTTTTTTAAATTTCTATGTGCCAAAAACCTTTCTGGGGTCATGGCAGGACCAACACAAAATTTTGGCCCGATTGGCCGTTTTGACGTTTATTGGACACAAACGAACAGATAAACATTGAGTTTATATACATTTAGAATCTATCTTGATGGAAATTTATTGACAAATAAAACGGAATCTTGTTAAAAACTCATATGATAAATACAATGTATTTCTATTCTTCTTCGTGGCGATTAAAAGATGAAAAAAACTGTTATTTAAAAACTTGTTCAGTGCAGAAAATTATTTGCAAAATACAAGTTTTTTCATCTTATTGTCTCTGCAACTACACCTTAGAGACTGAGGAATAACTTAGCCTTACAGGAAACAGTAAACTCTCTGCGCGCTGATAAAGTGACGATACCCTTAAAAACTTTCCATTTTCAACTGTGGTTTTTTGTGCATATCTGTTTCAGAAACAATAGAGGAAATTGTCTCCAGCATTAAATGCTTCAAACGTCAGAATCTTCGACATTATTTATAAGATAAAGGTTCAAAGGGTACCCGTAAACTTTTAGATAGGAAGTCACTTAAAATTGAATTGAACATGGCATTCGAAGTCACTCACCCCCCCCCCCCCCCCCCCCCCCCCCCTCTCCAGGGTAAAGCGTTTTACCAGCAATTCAAATGAATTGTTTAGCACTGAAGAAGAAGAAAACGTACATGGTTTGTTACATCAATAAGATAAAACTGTATTTTAAGATATAATAAGAAACTTATATTAATAAAAAAAAAATTTAATAAGAAAATAAAAACTTTTAGTTAATTATTTATTCTTCAAGTTTTACTTTTTACAGTTTAAATCTGATACATTTTTGAATAAATAAATAAATAAATGTCATATTGCATTCCCGTTACAGTTATTTAATGCCATAATGTTTATATCATTGTCTAAACTTACAAGTTACAACCCTTTTGTATTAATGCCCATAGAATTTTAGTTTAACTATACTATCACTAATGCGTATAATGCCCAAATGACTAGAAAACTTTTAGAAAACTAGTACATTTATATCTTGAAAATCCCAAATTACATGGATATGACAAACGTTACAGTACATTGTACAGTTTCTGGAGCCTGTTTAAAATTTACATGACAACATTTGAGCGTAAATGGTCAGTGGGTGCTTAAAAAAATTAGGGGATTTCTCCTCAGGGAAAAATGGTGGACGCTTTTGACGCGTTTCGTGCATGCAATTGAATTTAATCTAAATTTAACGCTGTAAAATTTCCATGTTGAAAACATGAAAAGCTCCAGAGCTGCAACAACTAATTATACATTGTCCTATCCTTGTAATCTAGTATTATATTATTATAAAATTATATGATTATATAATTATAAAATTATATAATTATATAATTCTAACTGCGGAGTCCAGTCTCTATGTATTGCAGTCGTCATTAACAATGATTTTCCAGCCAAGGTACCTGAAATAAAATAAGTATTGTAGGAAACGTACGAATACGATAGAAATTTCAAAAAGTTATTTCATAAAGGTTTTATCCTTTATAATCTTTTTTGTTCACTGCATCCACCATCCCAACTTATCAACAGCGTTGTCCAAAAAAATGAATCTTTAAAGATGACATTCAAATCCTAAAAATTTCACGATTTTTATTTACACAAGAAAATCTTGCAAGAGTTGAATATCATGATCAATAATCTAATCCAAAAAGTTACAAATATTTCTTACCGCAGAACTTAGAAATGTGAACCAATTTTTTTTGGTTATTTTCAAANCTCGATGTTAAATGTTAACTAATAATTAACCTGTAGATTAAATGTTCAAATAAAAATGTTTGACAAAAAGTTTATATTAATATTAAGTTTTGTTTTATCTAAATTAAAAAGATTAAACTTTATTTATTTTCCTTTTTTACATATTGTCACCCTAATGGAACAAATTGCAAAGAGTAAAATAAGCGCCGAATTTTTTTCTCTCCTTTAATAAAAAATATTCCGCATTGTGAATCATATAAGACGACATTCTTTAATACCTGTGTGTAAAGCACTGATAATAAACCACGTCTGGTGTATGCCTGTCAGGTTTCCACTGCACTATGCCGGGCTGACCTAAAACAGTACAATTTATGTACGTGTAACGCCAGGATTACCCACAAAGGATGAGACTTCAGGGGTCAATATAATTCCCAAAAGAGCTGATTTTCTCGATCCCAAAATTATTTTTTGCCCCCAATTTTTAAAAAAAATGCCCCCATTAAAAATTTTTTTTTCAAATTCCACTAACACATTTGCCCCATTTCCCCCCAATTTAAAAAAAATTTTCCCAATTTTTAAAATAAATGCCCCCAATTAAAATTTGTTTGTCAAATTCCACTAACACATTGGCACCCATTGCCCCCAATTTAAAAAAAATGCCCCCAATTTTTTTTTAAATTATCATTTAAAAAAAAATTGCTCCCAATAAAAGACTTTGCCCCCATTTCTTTCAAATTTGTCAATCCCAAATGGGATTGAAAAAGGAATTATATTGACCCCTGTGAGACTTCAATTGGTTAAATTTAGACTGAAAAAATTCCAGAAAACCAAGAATCTAAAAATAAGTGAAGAATTTCTCTACAGTCGTCTCATCGATATCATGCTTTGTGGTTAACCCTGTAAATTGTAATTAGGATTTCAAGAGTTTCTTCAAAAATCTAATAAATTTAAATATGATTCAAATTTTGATTCATGATCGAAACTAAGCTTTTTTCCACCAACAGTCTGACAGAAGATATATACCCAAATATTTTTTTAATCGTTCAAAACGTTTGGGGTCTCTTCGTTCAGGCCTCCTATCTTCTGTCAAAGATTTTGGAAACCCAAAATCTTGATTTTTTTTTAACGGATGATAATGTATTCCCACTCGCCAAACTTTAAGATACATAAAAAGTGTAATTGGAAGACGACATTTAATGTATTAACATTATTATTAATATTAACAAAATGATTTTAATTAATCGGTTGGTGCTGTAGATTTCACCTTCTTGACAGTTTAGACTGAGAGATCTTTGATATGCTCCAAAAGAAGTAAATTGGCTCCCAGGTTGACGGGGATCCTCCTTCCACTCACAAAGACGACCTTAATTATTTGTTATTATTACTATTATTATCATAATTATTATTATCATTGTTATTATTATTATCTGAACCTGTTGCAGTTGGAACAACATCTCCTCTCCGGTTCTGCTCCAGACCGGCAAATACTCTAATACTCCGCCGTTCTTCCGCCGATTTATATTCATATCCGCCCTCGGGATCATCAGTTATATAAAACGGATGATAACCTAGAATTAAACAATAATTTTATTTTGTTATTTTTCGACTGACAAGGTTTGTTGTAGAAAATAAGAAATATATATTTTTTTTCAAAAAGAATAATAAATATAATATTGTATTAAGGTTCAACAAAAATCAAAGCAAAATTTTTTTTATTACAGTTAAACCCTAAATAAGTCATAAAGAATTTATCATTGTCGTCTTGACAATTTTTCAATGGTTTTTTTAATTTTTTTTTACGTAAATCTTAGTATTTGCGAAAATAAATAAAAAACCATGAATATGCGGGAACAGTTTTAAAGAGCTCCATATAATAAATTAATTAAAAAACTAAATATCTGCAACATTTCATTATCAGAAAGTGAAGAATACGACATTTGGTGAATTTTTTCTATTTATGGCTTATTTAGGGTTTAACTGTGCGCAAATTGAAAACACGATGTACAAAATTTTTGCTCTGATCGGTATTTGCTGAAATAAACTATTCATATTGCAATAAAACTTTATTCCCTTTCTCTTACCTCCGGCAAATTCTGGGTTATCTCTCTCTTATACAAGAGTATAGGGTTCCAGGGGCGTACGAGGGCTTTTGTTTAGGGGGGCACAATTTTTGGGGTCCCCCCCTTGGCAACAGTATGCCCCCCC